TTTCACTTATTCTGCCACAATCTTCACGTTCCCTTCTTTGTGTATCAAAATCCCAGTAACACCAAAACCCAATTAAATAAACCACAAACTCATTATTTACTATAATGCAACTATATACTCAACTTCTTGCTTAGGCCTTCTATTACCTAGTTTTGAAAGTTAACAACTTTGTAGGTATGTAATTTACTATCTTCATTTTGTTAAGAATTGGTTTTAAATCAAGAAAGGCTCAATGAACATGTAATTTACAACTACCTTATGAAGATTATGTTGCATCAGAAAGAGAAATGTGTCCCAGTAAGTCAGCAGTATGAAAAGGTTAAAGAAAACCGTCTAAGCAAGTGGTTTCCTTACTTATGTTAACAAAATATCAATTTGTACTGCCTATGGCAGCAAGCATATAACACTGAATTGAGGCTTGCCAGAATTTCTTCATCTCCAATTCGGTAAACTTTCCAGTAAGTTTTAGGAGATGACATTCTTAAAACTCTTAAAAACAGAACTTTCATCTACTCAGAGAAAAAATAATTTTCAACAATCAATCAAACCTAACTCTACCTCTCCCGTTTTTGAGTTTGTCAGATTTTTCAAATTAAATGAAAAGAACAATTTTTAAATTTTAGTCCTAATAGGAAATCCTGGACTTTGATCACTGGAAGTTTATCGTCTCTCAGAATAACTGTTCCTTCAGCATAATTGATTTAGTTGAAATACAACTTAACAGAAAAAAAAAAATTAGCAATAGGAGATCCAAACACGGTTGGTTACTCTCACTCATGTGGTACAAAGACCTAGAAAATTTGGAACTAGCTCTTCAACAGACTATACTAAAAAATGAGACCGAGTAGTTTACAGAGAGCAGACTGTTGTTCAATATAGAGAAATGTGTAAGGCCTACTCCAAAGGAATGTTCCTCCTTTAGCAGTGTTTAAACAAACTTAAGGCCACCACCCTTAGAACCACCGAAATAAACTGAGAAAGGTTGGACTAAATGACAAGGTCACTTAATACCCTTCCAACTTCATCTATGATCTATATACATGTTGAAAATACCACACCATATTCATCAATGAGTGGTTACACCAGTCTGAAGATCTGTCTTCCTTTAGAGAAGCCTTCAAAGATGCAAGCAAGCTCCTTACAATTACAGAAAATGCTTAATTTTCTGGAAATATGCTGCATCTCTAAAGCAAATTAAAATTGGAAACTGCTAAAAAGGCAATTTTCTCTTTCAATTCAGCCATTTATTCCGAGCTTAATTATCAAACTACAAAAAATTTGGGGAGGGAAGGGGGGGAATCAAATAATCCAGGACAGGACTTGGGCATTGGTACTTTCTAAAAGCTCCTCTGGTGATTCAAAAGTGTAATCAGGACTGAAAAATGACCAAAAAGCTACAAAAATGATACATCCTCTGTAATTACCAAGATCACACTACAATTTAAAGCTATGAATAAACCAGATTAAACAGCATCATTAAGATAAACTGATATGCTATTTAACTAAAGTGTAATACTGATAGTACTTTCTAGTGATATTACTCTACATGAAAATATATCAAGCTATAGTTCTAATAACTTGGACAGCAAAGACAAAAGCTTATAACAAGAAACAGGAGTTTTTCTAAATGGTTCACCAGTGGCCAACCTGTTAGTCCCCGATTCCAGTGACCTATTCTCAGAGCACTGGCTTCTCCTTGGGGATTTTCGATACTTCACTCACTGTTGCCATGACGACAGCTTCATCTCTATGTACCACTCCACATCACCCAGGCTTTGGTAAATGTAGCTGGTCGCTGTATAGTCGGTTGCAAGGGAAAAAAGAGTTGAAGTTAATAACATATACAAGTTACGTGTCTGAGTAAACTTGTAATATGCATAGAAACACTTTTACATCCTGCTTTAAAAAAAAGGCTTCCATGCAATTAACAACTCCTTTTAAATTTCATGCTATTATCAACTTGTAAGATTGAGACAAAGTCAAATTCTCTGTAATAATGACCAAAACACACTATTACATCAGACACAGCAGTCAGTCAGGTGAGATGTTTTAAATTCCAAGGTTTTTATGGTTAAGAAGACCTACTCTGACATCAAGGAAGAATACACTAAGTCTCATAGAAAAACTTCAAAGTAGATAATCATTGTTAAGTGATAATACAATAGTTGGCTCAATGATTCAAAGAACACAGACAGAAAACTCCTTTAGGCAAACACAGAATCCTTTGACTAAGGACAAAAAGCCTTTTTATTACTGTCATTTTGTTTTAAACACCCTGAAGAATCAGCTAGATATCTAAAAACAAATTTTAGCTCAGACCATACTAAATACCAATTTGAAATCTTCCCAATTTCCAGGGATTCCTCACCAAGAAGCTATAAGACACTTTAAAATGAAATAAAAAATTAGTCTATCCCTGAACATGGTTAGGATGAAGGAGAAAAGATGGTGGAAAAAGAATATAAGAAAACTGAAAAATGCTGTGAAAACTATCTGGGTAGCAATGTTTCAGACTTTGTAACTAGACTAAAGATTACTGTTTGTCTCTGAATAAGTCCATTACCGCCAACTTATAGATTCAGCCAATAACGACCACTCACATAGGATACTACTTTGGCACTGACACCCAACCCCAACAACTTAAAAATCCTTTTATAACTAAATCCCATACTGTAAGTTTATCTAACATCACCACAATTTCTTAAAAAGTTAAAACACAAAAACTAACCTACACCAAGTATATCCTTCTGCAGCATGTACTGGAAGTCACCTCTAGATGCAGGAAGCCCTGCAACTGAACTTTTTGGCACTGCCTCACATGAACACATAGGTCGTCCACATAAAGTGTTTTCATGTAGCCACAAAATCTGTAAAATGACACTACTTGGTCTCTATTTTCTTTCTTACAAGATCAAATAAAATGGGTCTTATCTAAATGTAACCCAATCAGTTATTTCTCTACCCCACTCACTGATACTGTATCTGACCAAAACAAAATACCTGTTTAATCCCTTTGACTTCAAACTTCAACCTTTATCATCCTGCAGTCCTTTCAGATCCGGTATTATGCGATATATCGTAGTTCAATGTTGAGAAGTATTCTAACAAAAGCCAACCTCAATTGATAAAGAATTAACTGGGACTTCGAGTAGAAAAACATAATCTACACAAAACTTTGCCACAATATTAACTTGAACTGCAGTGTTCACACTTCCAGCCTTCAGTCTTCCAAGAGAGGGGAAGGGGGGAATAACTTACAGAATACACTCACACTTGAGCCAAACGTATTCCCTTTCTTGTTTAATCTTAAGCCACAGGACTGGCTTCACAGCACTGTTAGGATTGTCCATAAATGCAACTGCCTCTACAAACTTTAGATAGCTGGTTAATTGTGGTTTGTTTCAAATTAATTTAAGTATTAGTGAGCTCCTATGTGAATTTTAACACCTAAATTAAAGCCGGTTTTCCTTTGTATCAGTTTTGAGAGGAAAGAATGTTTTGATTTGATGATTGGTGCACAATACAGTAGCAGCAAGAAATACTGTGTTCAATAATGCCAATCTTACCTTTTTCCTCTTAACTGGCGCAGATGGTGAAATACATTAATCACATCTCTTATTCTTCTAGGTGCTTCTTCAATTTTTGATGCAAGATTAATACAAGCCATGGCAACAATCTGAAAGAACCCAAAATCCAATGAAAGGTTGTTAGATTATAGCATTATCAAGTAAAATTAGGAAAAAGTGACTCCCTCCCCAAAGTTTAACTAATTCTGATGAAAAAATTTTAGGATACAACTGGGACTTTTGGTGAAATAAAAGTACGGTGAACCTTTCTAGGCCATAGGCTTAACAGATATGCTGATACTATTTTTTTTTTTTATTTTTAAGTAATCTTAATTTTGAATCCAGAGTCAAGCTCAAGTCTCCCTGGAGTTTTGAATTTGGTTAAAATGTTAATTTTTGCTAAGGGAGCACCGGGGCTCAAGATATGCTTTATAGCTTTCAAACACATTCCAAAAGTCTTTGCTTCTCGGTTGTTGAGAACTAGGTACAAAGGCCTAAACTAACCACTCCCTTTCTAGAAAAGCTGGCTGGAGACACTACCCCCTCCTTTCCGTTTCCGGATGAAGAAATCCCTCACACCCGCCCCCGCGATGCTTACCTCGAAACTGTGTTTGACGAAAGACTTGGAGTAGAAAAAACGATGAAACAACACCTGCCCCGTTGCCATCGCCACCTGCAGACAAGAGACAAGAACGGAAGCACAGGGGTCAGGCGGGCCCGCACCAGGCGCCGCCGCCATTTTGTGCCGCCGCTCGCTCCCCCTCCCCCTCCCGCCGCGAACTGCTCGCGGCCCGGCCGGTCCTCCCTTCGCCTCCGCGCCCTTCCGCCCTCGACACACCCGGGATCCGGCTGGAACCCGTGGCTGGAGAGCCCGAGAAGGCATCTCTACCCTAACGACACACGGTGATACCGGGATGCAGTGGAAGGGACAGCGGGGAGGAGAGGCGCGCTCTGCCGGCCCGGGGCCGGCGCACTAACCTGCGGCAACCGGAGGAGAATGCCGGCGGCTTGGATGAGCTCGCAGCCCAGGATGCGCAAATCGGTCTCGCTGGGCAGGTCGAGCCCGTCCTGCATGGACGGGGTAGGGGAAAGCCGCTCCTCCGGAATCAGCGAATGATCAATGGTGAGCGAAACTTCCGAGTAAAGGCGGTCGCCGATCAGGATCCCTCCCGTCGTGGTCGTCGTCGTGGTCGTCGTCCCGGAGCTGGAGCCGCCTGCGCTCGGGGCGGCCGAGGAGGCGGCAGCGGCAGCGGTCGCGGTCGGGTGAGGCCCGGACGCCATAGTCTCAGCGAGCTGCACGCACGCCCAACGCAGCCGGAACCCGGAGCGAGACTAACCAGCGTCCTCGGCGCGACGGATATTCCCGTGACCGCCGGGTTCTGGGCCGCTTCACGCAGCGTGCGCTTCCGCCCTGACGTCACCACGCCCCCGCTGGTGCGCGCCAACTAGTCCCTTCAGGCCTCCCTAGGCCTGCGCCGCGGGTGGAGCCGCGGGCCGCAGTGTGGGATCCTCCTGTCACCTGGAGACCTCTCGGCTGGGGTCCCGGAGAGGTCGAGGTGCCGTCTCTTTAGCTAAAACAGGTTTTAGCCGCCGCGTTTTTAATAGTATTTGCCACGAGTATAAAGAAGGGAGCTTCACAAGCTATTTTATCCCCAAGGTAGAGTTGGCAGCAGTTGCTCTGATCCCTGCGCGATTTCGGTAGTTTGTCCAGAACGTGCGTCTCTTTGCTTCCGTCTCTCGCCCTCTCCTAACTTTAAGCATTTGGGTGGCGCAGTTCAGCGGGTACAAAGGGAAACTTAGGGCCGACCTTCGCCCGAATTGGCGGGTAGAAGCAGTTACTCTGCTGTCGTACTTGGACGAATTTGTAGTTTGTAAAAGTGACCCGCAAGGAATCTGGAGAGGGCTGCTTTACTGTATTTCTTTTAGACAACATGAATGTGAACTACATTGGTTCCCCCAAAAATGACATGCTCATCGGAGCATGTAATTTCCCGTGGTATCGATGTAAAGCGAAGGCTTCATAATGACCGGGAGAGAGGCTGCTTTTGCCTGTTCGCTTGCGAAACTCAGGCCTGAGTCAGTGATATGGCCACAGTTTACAGTAATCTGGAAAATCCCTAGTTTCCAAAAATAGGGCGAGAACTTTCCAGAGGTAATTGGATTATACCCAGGGATCAATGTATTCATATTGGTTACCACAATTAGGCAGAATGGGAGAAATCAGTCTCCTTTGTGTTTTTTTTTTCCCCTCTGGGATGTTAGCAATTCCCAGAATTTCCTCAAATTTGAAGTAAAAATAACGATACTGATACAAACTACTAGAGTCTAGAGTTGGAAGGAAATGATATCTTGGTTTACTCCAGCTATCTTTTTATCCCACACTTGAACTTCAGAGATGGTTGGCTAGGGATCAGAAGTCCCATTATCTTTCTATTACATAGCTTGAACCCAAGACTTACTTTGTTTAGTTATGAAAAGTGCACTGAGCCTTGGATCTTCAGAGCAAAGGAAGTTTGAATGCATTTTGACATTTGTCAGTGATGTGAGTAAAGCAAAACAAACTCAGAAACCTCATTTTTTAAAAAGCATTAAATTAGTTTTATTTAGTAAATTCCTACATGAGTAATTCTGAACCCTGTCTGGGAAATAGAATCTTCTGGGTAGTTTTGAAAACATACTGATGCTTGAACCTTACCTGCAGAAGTTGATGTAATTAATTTAGGGTGGTCCCAGCCAGTGTTTGGATTTTGCCATCCTCCAGTGATTCAAATGTTCAGGCAGGGTTAAGAAATATTATTCCAAGAGACTGTAATTCTGGTGGTGGCTAAAGCAGTTAACCTCTCTGCCATCATCTCTTTGACCTTTCTGACCAGACTGTTTTCAAGGAAACCTCCCTTCCCAATATTCAAAGGGATTTAAAAATACTATTAACTTTGAAAACTTGGGACTCTTCAAAAACTAATCAATGATAGGCTATTTTCCTGATTCTGATAACCTGTGGTTATGTAAAATAGTAGTGTTGGGGAAATTTGGATCAATGATACATGGGAATGCTGCCATTATTTCAAACTAAAAAAAGGCAAATTGGTAATATGCTTCATTGAAACATTGAGTTTCAATGAAATAACCGCCTGTATTTTTAATAACCTGAGAGTAATATAATTTAACTTACTTTTAAGATACTTCTTAATGGAAATTTTTTTTCTCTTTAGGGGCTCTTCCACCCTTCCCTCCAATAAGCTGACTTGGTGATGTTTTGATATATTTTATAATATATTTTTACTCTCTAGGTCGTTGATATTTGAACTTCACAAGCATAGGAGTGAGCTCTGGGAGGAGGAGGGGTTCCTTGCTGTGTTCCTGATATCTTTTCTCAGTAGACTTCCCTGCTCCGCACCTGCTATGTCTCACATTCATTTCCAAAAGAGCAGAAACACCCTGACTATTCTATGCTTTGGGCCTATTTCCAACTCCTGACTGTACCCCAACTTATATCTAATAGATAAGAGTATTTTCACTCTTCATGCCTTCAGCTTCAACAAAGGTGGTAAAAGAAGTAGGCCAACATTTTATTTGTTTAGCATTAACTCATCAAACTAATGTTACTTTTACTTTTAACTTAAAAAAGAAAAAAGCCACGACTAATCCAGAGGATGGAATGCAGTAGGTCTAGTGGTTCTGCTTCACAAGGTTATCTAAGGACAAGGGGTTAAAAAAAAAAATTATGATTATCCTTTTCAGGGTCAAATTCCAAAAAAATCATGGTTTAGAAAATTGTTACATTATTTCTAAGTTATTTTGAAGAAAGCTGTTTTTCTACATACCCACTTCCAAAACATCAACATTTAAAATGTAGAAAGACTAAGACCTATTCAGTGTTGTAAAGTTTCCAGAACTGGGAAGAGTAAAGCACACGCTTTAATTGTATAAAGCGTTAGTAGAAATGTATTCAGGCAAGTGAGAGAGTTCCATTAGGAAGGGAAATGCTTGAGTTGTCACTTAAAAGAAAAATGGAATGGTGTGTCTGTAATAAATTTTGTATATTCTTTCTCAAAGAACAGATGTCCTGTTAGTAGACCCTGAGTTCACCCATGTCTAAAAGGAGATCAGTGATAACTAGAGTAAAGTTGCAGTTTTTACTGTTTTAAGCCCTCCAGGCTTCAGATGATGACTGGAGAGACAAATGGAATTATCATTGGCCTTCCTGTGACTACTGAAGAATCACATTCTTGATGCTTTAATCAGTTCTCGTTCCATTAAACTGTGTAGCCTCCCTGGGGATCATGTTTTTCATTATTATTTAAACTTTCAGGTTCTTTAACCCTAAAATCATCATTGATATAATCTCATTAATTTCTTCAGCAATTGGTATTCATCAGTAGACTACCAGAGTTTAATAACAACACTGTAATTTAGGCTAAATGCAAATGAAGTGAAAGTCCCCACCAGAAGAAGCTACACTTAAGAAAAAAAATATTTATTTTTATTTATTTGGGTGGGGGAGGGACAGAGAGAATTTCAAGCAGACTCCCCACTGAGCGTGGAGCCTGACACGGGGCCTCAGTCCCAGGACCCATGAGATCATGACCAGAGCCAAAACCAAGAGTCAAATGCTCAGCCAACTGAGCCACCCAGGTGCCCCAAGAAGCTACACACTTAATAAAGGGAATGGTACGCACAAAGATAAATGTTAGGGTGACCAGTAAGTGCAAAAAGCAGGCAGAGAAGGGATAAGTCATCATGGTTAATGTGATCAGGGAGAATTTATAATTTTAGGAAGTTGCTAATCAAGTTTCTGTTTATAGCAGAGATCATAGAATATTTGACTACACATGAACTGTTCATGTGACTACATGATTTTTTTTTAGTCTTGTGGTTATATGACAATAGATTTTGGTCTGGTTGCTGTCATCATTAAATAGTTATTCTGAAGGTAATTTATATGTAAGTAACCCTTAGGCATATACTGCTTGGCAAATCTCGTAATAGCACTGGCTTGGGCATTCTGCTGCCGGCTCTGCTGAGCGCTAGTTCTGAGGTTTTAAGAAACCATAGTTTTCTCATTTCTTAAAGTGAGGGAGTCCAACTGGACCCCTTGCATGTCTAAACTTCTGTGACTCTGCTTATCCAAACATCTTGAACCTCAGACTCCTCTTTGGTTCTTAATTCTTCTTTATTTTAGTCACCTTGTCCTCTTGTTCCTTCCTTCAAGGAAGGCAATTGTTCTCAAATCTGCTGTTCCTCATGCCTCGTCGTCTTGGCTCCATTCTCACCCATTCCTCATTCATCCAGGTAAATTTCTAAATCAATCTTTGAAATATCAATTTAAAATATCAATTTCCTCACCTCACTTTCTCAAATAAAAACTTTGGAAATAAAGGCTGTTGAGGCTTAATACAATATAAACTTACCAGGGCACCTGGCTGGCTCAGGTGGAAGAGCTTGCAACTCTAGATGTTGGGATTGTGAGTTCAAGCCCCATGTTGGGTGTAGAGATTACTTAAATTAATAAAATTAAGAAAAAAAGTTTCAACTTGCCTTGTCACTCATTTCCTTATCAAATTACCACCTTGCCTTATTCCCTTCTATGTCTCTGAACCAAGACCAGCTGCACTTGGCTCCTAACAAATACATAGTTACCTTCCTGATTTCACACTTTCTATTTCTCAAGCCTGCAACATTCTTAACTCTTTTCTCTGTGAATCAGATCCTTCCCAGTTGCTTGAGATCTAGATGAAGCTCTACCTCTTGCCAGAAGCCTTTCTACCTGATAGGGCTTGCATTACTTTTCCCCTTCTTTGGGTTCCCTCCTAGCATTTATGACCTCTAGAATACATTTTGACACATGATTTTATACTGTTACGCATTGTTACTTGATAACTTCACGAATGGGTGTCTTGACTCCTTAAAAATAGGACCATTTTTGCATTTATTTTCCATTGTCCACAGAACCTGGTAGACACTGTGCCTATGGGAGGTAGTTAATCAGAACTTATGGAACTCAATTGCCTATTTTTTTTTTTTTTCCCTAGTGCCTGGCATAGGAAGGCTGGTCTTGCCTTTTCCTTTCTGTCCAGCAGCCAGGTCTATCCTCGGGTATCTGTCCTACCACCACAGCCATCTCTCCCTAATAGAGAGCTAATGTACTCCCTAATGGGGGTCCCCATTCGTCCTGTTCACTTTGCAGCACTCAGCCGTGTTTCCACTTCTGCTCTATTCTGTGTCCTTACGGTGGGCTACTTCTATAGCCCACAAGCTCTGTTCTATATAGGCATGAGCTGCAGAATAGGAGGCCTATTGGCATTGTTATAACCAGAGTTGTGGTTCAGGGACAGGAGCTCACAGCAATACAGTGGAGTCGTTTGATGTTTGAGTGTAGACAGAGGCTCTGGGACAGTTTTTGGAGGTGTGTCCCGAAATTGGTCATGTGTGAGTAAGAGTTAAGGCCAGTGCCAGTTAGATAAACTGAACTGTAAAGCCAACAAAACCATAGGTTTGCTTTGGGAGCTAGACTAATGTTAATATCTGGTCTGATCTCTTTTTCACACAGGAAATTCAGGTCCAAGGAGAAGGCTGCAAATAGTAGCTACTCATTAGTATTTGCTGATTGCAAATAATTCAGTGCAGGCTATGCTTGGGTGGATTCATTCTTTATGGTATTAAATGTGAGGAATTGGCCAACTAGTCTTGGTTTTAGTCACCTATTCAAGAGTAGTAAGAGTTTGTTGGTATGACTTCCAAACAGACTACATCAAGGGAATGTGGCCCTGCCAGCACCTGGATTTTGGCCCAGTGAAACTAATTTGGGACTTCCGACCTATAGAACTGTAAGATAATTTTTGTTGATGTAAGCCACTAGATTTATTATAATTCTGTATAGCAGTTATAGGAAACAGATGCAGTAAGATTATTTCCTGATACTATTTTTTTAATTTATTTATTTGTCATAGAGAGAGAGAGAGAGCGCACAAGCAGAGGGAGCGGCAGGCAGAGGGAGAAGCAGCTTCCCTGCCGAGCAAGGAGCCTGATGCAGGACTTGATCCCAGGACCCTGGGATCATGACCTAAGCCGAAGGCAGACGCTTAACTGACTGAGCCACCCAGATGTCCCTCTTTCCTGATATTATGTAGGAAATGCTCCTCAGACTTTTAAGATGCTTCACCTGGGTGGAGCCTGCAAGCCCCAGTTCTAAAAAACACTCGTGAGTTGTGCTGGTCAAGGTCTATATTGAGCAGCAGGTTTTAAAACACATGAGATGATTTTATGTCTTTTATAACTCCAGTTTGGAGGAAGTAGAAATCCAAATGTTGAGAGTACTGGAGGCTCTGTCACTTAATAGCTATATAGATACCAACTTTTGGCAAATTACTTAATTTGCTTAAATTGCTTAGGCAATTATTTAAGTTCAGTTTTCTCACCAATAAAATGATACTGATAACACCTACCACGAAATACTATTTATTAGGTGAAATGGTTACACATTAGTTCATTTTCCAGTCCTTGGAAATGCAGATTATTTACCTGATGTTGGGCAGTGATTAAAATGCCTGTAATTCTGTTGCCAAGGACTTTTGGTCTGGCAGCTGTGAACGTTTTGTATTCATTCATTCACTCATCTTTAAACTCTTATTTATTTGTTGTTTTTTTTTTAAGATTTTAAAGCGAGAAGAGTGAACACAAGCAGGGGGAGTGGGAGAGGGAGAAGCAGGCTTCCCACAGAGCAAGGAGCTCAATGCGGGGCTCGATCCCAGGACCCTGGGATCATGACCTGAGCCAAACGCAGACGCTTAACAAATGAGCCACCCAGTCACCCCTAAACTCTTATTTATTTGTTGACAACTAAGTATTAGGCTCTATTCCAGGCAATGGGGATATGGTGTTGAATGATAGATTCTGCCTTCAAGGAGCTTGTAGATGATACACAGATATACAATTGTGGTAATTTTAACTAATTTTTTTTTTAAATGGAAGGACCTTTGAGATAGTAAGTGAACAAAAGAAAGTTCCAGCTTGGGCGCCTGGGTGGCTCAGTTGGTTTAGCAACTGCCTTCAGCTCAGGTCATGATCCTGGAGTCCCAGGATCGAGTCCCACATTGGGCTTCCTGCTCAGCAGGGAGTCTGCTTCTCCCTCTGACCCTCCCCTCGCTCATGCTCTCTTTCTCTCTCTCTCTCTCATTCTCTCAAATAAAAAAATCTTTAAAACAAAAAAGAAAAAGTTCCAACACCATACATGTAGTGTGATACTTTTTATATGAAATTAACTACATATATATGAACTACTAGTGAAATGAATTTTTAAGTGTTTCAAAATGCATATCTGAATTGTTTATTAGATTCAACAGATGTAAAGTTACTTTGTCAAATTGCCATAACAATTTCTAGACACCTTCAATTTCTGTACTTATCTCATTAACTACCCATAAGGAGCAGTTCAGAGTTTGGTGCCAGCCCATGGGCCATTCTTTGGTATTATTCTTTGAATTTTTTTAAAATAGCGAACATTTATTTCTTGTATAATAGCAATTGTTTTGAAAAAAAAATTCCAATTCAGTCTGATAATCGACATATAGGTACAAGGTAGAGAAGTGGTTCCAAGGATGGGGTAGTTTTATGGACAAACAACAAAGAAGGTGGCAAAAAGGAGATGGATTTTAAAGGCTACATAGGCATTTGTCAGAAAGGTAAGTGTGGAAGAGTGTTTTAAACAGGGAAAACAGGAGCCATGGTAGAGAGGTATGAAACTGCTAGGTGTGTTGAGAAAGGTAGTGGACATCTTTCCCTTAGGGACCCACAACTTCTCCATTCTCAGTGTAGATGGTTTGGGTAGGGCTGACCTCCTCCCTAGCTCACAAACTAATCAGCATTTCTCACCCCTCTTCACTTCCTCCCAGTGATTGGTTCAGGACATCAGTTAAGTCCAGGACTTTTACTGTAACCCTGGCTAGGGAAAGAGAAAGAAGTGTTTGTTTCTTCTGGGATTGTCAAGAGGGGATATGTAAGCCCAGACCTACAGAGTGCCATCTTACTACTGGATAGGGGAACCAGTTTGAGAATGGAGTCAGCAGAGAAAAAGAACAGAGGCCAGAGATAGAAACCCAATCCAAAGACTTCATTTAAGACTCGCATGTAGCCATACCCTATCTTCTACCCCTGGGATTTTCAGTTACATGAACAAATAACTTCCTTTTTATTCATTTAATCTTAAATCCTCTTAACTGGAAAGATCTACATAAAGAATATTATGGTATGCTAGAACATTTGTGTGTGTGTGTGTGTACCCTAGGGACTAAGATGCTGCAGGGGTGGGCAAGGTCTAGAAGGGCAGAGGAACAGGTCTTCACTTCTGGAGGCTCCCAGAAGCTCTGGAGGATCTAAAGCAATGTTAAAAGGGAGTCACTAGTGCTAAGACCACATCACCAAACCAAAACTAACATCTAACTTAATTGCATTTTCAGCCTCCTCCAGGAATGTAATCTTAACCCTTCAGTCTAGAATTTCTTGGTTGGCAGTAGTGAGGTAATTCATCTAATAGGTCCATTTTGTCCCCCAGAGGAAGGTGACCTTGCCTGAAATAATCCTTCCTCCCTACCCCACCCCCACTTACGACTTCCTTGTCCCATTCCTTCTCTGGCTTTAAAGCCTTTAGTTTTCTGTAGCTCTTTGGAGCTCTTCTCTGTTTGCTAGATGGAGTACTGCCCAATTCATAAATCGCTCAGTAAAGCCAATTAGATCTTTAAAATTTACTCAGCTGAATTTTTTTTTAAACAGCAGTGATTACCTCAAGAAAATGAAGAGCTATAAATCAGAAAGTAATATTAAGAACAGTTACTTCCTCAAATTTTTCTAGTAGTTTCATTTTTATTCTGTTTACCTCTGGTTGGGGCTAGGCAATTAAAAATGGAAAGGACCTAGCAAGTCCTTGAAAATTACATATTAAAAAGTACTGTTTTCCTTTTAAGGATTGGGAGTTATACTGTAATTTAGAAAATTATAATTTTGAGCAATGAAGTAGGTGACTCCATTTATTAGTGTTTTCTGTTTCCAATAAGCATTCAGCATAAGCAGACTTTCACTGAAGAAACTTTTAGGAATATTAAGAATCAGCTTTTCTGAAGCACCCTACTCAGTTAATTAGTTTTCTTAGCAGGAACAAGAAGTAACTAGGAATCTCAGGAATGCTTTGGCCGTTTTGGACATTATAACAAAAATAAATGAGCTTCACATCAAGTTCCCTACATATAATTATCATGCCTCTTTAACCTAGAATAATTACCTAGGGTTTTTTGTCTTTTATAGTATTTTTCATGATTCCAGGCCAATGGTTTTGTAGCGTGTTCCTCAATTTGGATTTGTCTGATTGTGATTAGATTCAGGTTGAACATTTTCCCAGGAATGCTCCGTAGATGATGTATCCTCCAGGTTTCACAACAAGGGGCATACAATGTTAAATTATTGTCCAATTTTTGGTTAATTTTGATGATTTGGTTAAAGGTATCCACCAGATTTATCCATTGTAAACATACCTTTACACCTTTGTAATAAGTAACCTGTGGGATGATTCTTTGGCAATAAATAACATATCTTACATACATTGTTTCAAAGAAAAATGGCCCAGCTGAAACCTTACGGAGTTGGGAAGGATTATTTCAACAAATTTCTAGTGAGTACCCACTAATTATGTCATGCTAAGTGCTAAGACCACAAAGTAGTGAGACTGACCAGAGTAAAACAAAGAGCAAAATACCACAGGAGAATTTGGGAGGACAAAGACCACATTAAAAGTGAGGAAAGGGAAGTTCAGAGATACAAAATGACCAAGATCGAATGTCAGAAGTGAGATTAGAACTCTGGTTTTTCTAATGCCCAGTACAGTGTTCTCTCCATGACAGCATCTGAAGATTGTATTGTAAAGCTGGTTCTCTGGGACAGATATAACATTTGTTCTTACAGTGAAAAAAGTTCATGACACCCTATTGTGTAACTAAAAGAACAAGCTTTCTCCGGGCCCACCATAGGTTGCTTTAGAAGAAATGTTTTTTAGATTAATTTAAATTATGTACCTTGTGACATTAAACTCCGCCTTGGAGACCTAATCTAGTTTTATATCAGGGAAAGTTTTTCTCATAGTGACAGGGACACACACACACACTGGTGCCACACCGTAAAACTACCACAGAACAAGATTTGTCTATTCACAAGTAAGGAAACTAATTCAGAGGTATTTACATCCTACATTCTGGGACTACTGAACAGTCGACACGTAATTCCCGTAATTGCTTTATGAAATACGGAATGTTTGCATATATATCACTGGAATCTCAAAAATAACCCAGTTACTTCTTAAGGTGGGAAGCACGGATCAGTAGATGTAGGCTGGATTGCTAATTGTTTTGCCTTTACATTTAAGAATCTCTCGTGTATACTTAGTTTTCAGAACAGAAACATAAGGGGGAATAGTCTCATACATTTAGTCATGTATGTATGTCATACATTCATTCATTCAGGACTACTTCGGCTTCAAACTTAAAAGCTGGTTCTGGAGATGTGCTGTTTTAGGCATGCGATTTCTTTTGAGCTCAGTTTTGAATCTATAGACACTGCAATCCCAACGTGGTCTTTTCCCTGATGGGGAAGTTCAGGGAGAAATAGGTGGTTTCAGGCTACAAACTGGAAAAGCTCAATTCTACCCCCTCAGTAGTTTCAGGAATTGTTTTTAAACGTGAAGGCCAGGATATCAGTTGCCCTTTGCTCGCTCTTCTCAATACGGAACCTCGTAACGTCCTGCGTACTTGGGGTAAATGAATTTATTTGAACAGGTAAATATTTACAATTTTTTACATTAGGACTGTAGCGAGAACTCCCTCCGCCAGCAGCTAAAGGGCCCTCCCTAATCTAGAGGAGGCAGGGATCCCCAAGGGCTCTACCGTGGGGGAGGTGCCTTAAGTGGGCTGGTCAATTGGAAAGTTCTTTTCCCCTTGCTACGAACTAGGCGAAAAC